CAAAGGCCACCAAGTGAGGGGCAGAAGTGGAAGAGTTTTCACTCCGACCACAGTGGGTGTCTCTGTTTGGTTGAGCAACAGCGAAATTCTTAAGTCGTCTTGGTGGATCTTTGAAGTCCCCTCCCTGAGTCATCCTCTCCGGAGAGAGAGAGGAAACCCCATCTCACGGCCCCCTGAGACCCAAAGGCAGACTCCGCCGTCTGTTGGGGTGGCCATTTCAGCCCATTTTGGGGGAGCATTTGACCAAAGTCTGGCTTCCTATGGGATCGTTTTAACCCAGTCTATAGTTTTCTCTTTTTAAAATTTTTATTTTCACATAAAAACCACCCAGGAATGGTTACAGGATTGAGAGTCACAGGTGAGTTGTTTGACAGAAGGTGGTCGCAACCCCCCCGCCCCCCTCCAGGTTGCAAATCTGACCGGTGGTGACAAGGGACAGACTCCGGATCGAGGCTGCCTCACACACGAGCCTCCAACACATCCTGGCATGTCACGGTGAGCAGATGCCAAGAGCGTGTCGCTTGCGTGGAAAAGACGGGTGTACAGGGGCAGAAAGCAGCTGCGTGGTTGTCCGGAGCTGGGAGCAGAGAGGAACGGTGGCCGTCAACGTCTGCCGGGCATCCTTCTGGGGCCTTGGAAATGTGGAGGCTGGAAATGGGAGGCTGGGTTGCCATGCGTGGTGCACACAGCTCCACAAAGCGACCGCGCATGCCACACAATTGAAATAGGCGCGTGTTATAATTTGGAAATGATGTCTCACTACATCTGTCAAAAAAAAAAAAATAATTTGACCAGGTGCGGTGGCTCACGCCCGTAATCCTAGCTCTCTGGGAGGCCGAGGCGGGCGGATTGCTCAAGGTCAGGAGTTCGAAACAAGCCTGTACAAGAGTGAGACCCCCGTCTCTACTATAAAAAATAGAAAGACATTAATTGGCCAACTAATATATATAGAAAAAATTAGCCAGGCATGGTGGTGCATGCCTGTAGTCCCAGCTACTTGGGAGGAGGCTGAGGCAGGAGGATTGCTTGAGCCCAGGCGTTTGAGGTTGCTGTGAGCGAGGCTGATGCCACGGCACTCACTCTAGCCTGGGCAACAGAGCGAGACTCTGTCTCAAAAAAAAAAAATAGAAAGAAATTAATTGGCCAACTAAAAATATTAGCCGGGTGTGGTGGCACGTGCCTGTAGTCCCAGCTACTCGGGAGGAGGCTGAGGCAGGAGGATTGCTTGAGCCCAGGGGTTTGAGGTTGCTGTGAGCGAGGCTGACGCCACGGCACTGTAGCCCGGGCGACAGAGTGAGACTCGGTCTCAAAATGAAACAAAATAAACGAGCAACAGTGTGATTAGGAACATTTGCTCCTTCCCTACTCAACAACTCTGAACCGACAGGGTCTGCAGCCTCCAGCGAAACCCCTTGCAACCAGCAAAGTCTTCCCGGGGCCCGTTTGCCAACAGGACACCTTGTTTCCCCTTGTGTTTTCAAATACGCAAAAGGTATTACAAGCAGACTGATGTACTGAAACGCTGTGTTGCCTTCACTCAGCTTCCACCGTGCTCTGTAACCAACATCCTGCAATATTATTGATCCAATGCCCTAAAGTATGCATGTACATATATGTGCACACGCGTGTACATACACGTGTGCAAGCGTGTGTCTGCTGAGAGTTTTAAAGCAAGCAGCACACATCGTAACATCTCGCCTGCAAAGACTTGCATATAAATCTTTCACGTGTAGAGGTTTCTCGTCAACCACAAAAAAACTGCAGCACGTCTTCCCACCCAATAAAATTAACAAGAAATTATTAATTTCATCTGCGGCCCCCATGCTTGGAAAAAAACTGGTTCTGCTGAGGATTGAAAGTCTTGGGGTCACTTAAGTTCTAGGGGTGCTACGGTCTGAATGTCTGTGTCACCCTAAAATCGGTATGTGGAAACCCTCACCCCCGAGGAGATGGTGTTGGCAGGTGGGGCCTCAGGGAGGTGACGGGGTCCCGAGGGTGGAGCCTCCCGGATGGGACCAGGGTCCTTATAATAAAAGGGCCCCCAGAGAGCTCCCTCGCCCCTTCCACCACGTGAGGACACGGCGAGAAGGCGCCGTCTGTGAACCAGGAGGTGAGTCCCCGCCAGACACAGCCCCTGCCACGCCGGGATCTCGCTCTTCCAGACTCCAGAGCTGCTGGGTATAAGCTGCCCAGGCTGTGGCGTTTTGTTATTCCTGCAGCCTGGACGGACTGAGACAAGAGGCCAGTGAGGAGGATGAGGTCTCAGATCTGCCATAAAATGGGCTGCGTCTGTGGAAAGCAGGTATCTCAGAAATCAGAGAGAGGGAGAGAGAGAGAGAGACAGAGACAGAAAGACAGAAAGAGGGAGAGAGACAGAGAGAGAGGCAGAGAAAGAGAGAGGGGGAGAGAGACAGAGAGACAAAGAGAGACAGAGAGACAGAGGGAGAAAGAGAGAGAGAGAAAGAAAGGCAGAGAAAGACAGGGAGAGAGAGAGACAGAGAGAGAGGGAGAGAGAGAGAGACAGAGAGAGAGGGAGAGAGAGACAGAGAGAGACACAGAGAGAGACAGAGAGAGAGAGGGAAAGAGAGAGACAGGGAGAGAGACAGAGAGAGACAGAGACAGAGAGAGACAGAGAGAGGGAGAGAGACACAGAGAGAGACGGAAAGAGAGACAGAGAGAGAGACAGGGAGAGAGAGAGACAGAGACAGAGAGACGGAGAGAGAAAAAGACAGAGAAAGAGAGACAGAGACAGAGGGAGAGAGACAGAGACAGACAGAGAGAGAGACAGGGAGAGAGAGACAGAGACAGAGAGATGGAGAGAGGCAGAGAGAAAGAGAGACAGAGAGAGAAACAGAGACAGAGAGACAGAGAAAGAGAGACAGAGACAGACAGAGACAGGGAGAGAGACAGAGAGAGAAAGAGAGACAGAGAGAGAAGGAGAGAGACAGAGACAGAGAGAGACAGAGACAGACAGAGAGAGAGACAGAGAGAGAGACAGGGAGAGACAGAGACTGAGACAGAGAGACAGAGACTGAGACAGAGAGACAGAGAGAGACAGAGAGACATCTTTGCCCTCCTCCCTGGGAAAAATCAGAAGCGACATCAAGGGGGCTGCTTTCTGAGCTCTCCCCTCTCTCTCCCCTCTCTCTCCACATCCAGCCAAGACCAGACTACAGTTTTCCATCCTTTTTTTAAAAAAACAAACCAGCGAAACTGTGCGTGTCAGCAGAACTGCGTTCTCCCTTACGGAGCGGGCAGGGTCGGGGCGGGGAGCTCGTGGGAGGTGGGTTGAGGCCGCGCAGAGCCGGCGGGCGTGTGGGCCTCTCTCAGCGGCTGGGGGCTGCATGGTGGGCATGATGACCCCGAGATTGCCAAAACGGGGCGCTCTGCCTGTTCACCGCTCGCTCTCGGGCCTCAGGGCCGCGGGGCGTCCTGCCCAGCCCCGGCCGGGGAAGGGTGTCACTGTGACCGGCTTCCTCTGCTCTGGGCCCCGGCTTGTGCGGTTTGGGTGTGGCGTGCTTGCCGTGAGACGCCCCTTTGAGGTTTTTCACACCTTTTTTTTTTTTTTTTTTT